TTTGACCTGTAGATGAGGGTATTTACATAGTGGCCTTAAAATCTACAAATAAATTCTTTTTTTCATTCTCCGAGCAAACCCTTAAACTCATAGAATCATAGAAATGTAGGGATGGAAGGGACCTTGAGAATCATCAAGTCCAGTCCCTTGTGCTGAGGCAGAACCAAGTAAACCTACACTATCCCTGACAGGTGTTTGTTCAACTGGTTCTTATAAACCTCCAATGGTGGGGATTCCAAGTCTCCCTCAGAAACTTATTGCAGAACGTAGCTACCTTTCTAGTTAGAAAGTTTCCGAATATCTAACCTAAATCTTCCTTCATGCAGATTAAGCCCGTTACTTGTTCTCCATGTCCACTGAAGGTAGGACAAGAATTGATCACAATTCTCTTTATAACAGCCCTTATCATATTTGAAGACTGTTATCAGGTTCCCCTCTCAGTCTTTTTCAAAACTAAACATGACCATTTTTTTAACCTTTCCTTATAGGTCAGGTTTTCTAACCCCTTTGTCATGTTTGTTGCCCTTCTTTGGAAATACTGACTAATGATGGACCCTGAAGGAGTCAGTCGCCCAACCCCCACTGAGTTTTGGAATAGCTGAATTGCTCCCTTCTCTTTGAAAAAGGTTCAGTATGTGTGGTGGGGAGGGGGGAGTGAGTTTGGCTGTAGATTTCAGATCTGTTAACAGTTGCAGTTCCCTTTACAAATATCGCTAACCCCAAAATCATGTGAGTGGCTTAAAAAACATGATTTTTAAAAAATACTAGTACATTCTGGGTTCTGTTTATTCACTGTCTGGATTTTGAGCTATTAGGGGTTAACATTTTCCAGCTTTTCTCCTCAAATAGTAGGGCTAGAAATTGACTCACTTTAAAAAATGAAGCTTTTCCAATAATCACATGACTCCAGGAACTGGGCGCTTTGAGAGCAAATATCATGAAAGCTGACAACACATCTTCCCCCCCCCCACCCATACACCCACACACTTACCTCTGGATTCTCTCTCCTCTCATTCCATCAGGTGACGTGGTGCTGAGCGCAAGTCCCCTGCTGGAGGTGCCAAGCGCAAGTCCCCAGCGGGAGGAGACAGAGATGGCAGGGCCACGCAGGGTGTCCCTAGGAAGATACAAAGGGAAGGCATCACGGACTCAGCGCAGGGTGGGGAGGCAGCATGGGAGCCCCATTGGGAAAAGGCAGGTGGAATCAGCCCCTCCCCTACCAGACTTGGGGAAGCCCGAACCCCAGCCCAGGCCTTTCAAATGTGCTGAGTGTGGGAAAACCTTTTGCCGCAGCTCTGACCTGCTGAGACACAAGCGGATCCACCGGGGGGATCGGCCCCACCACTGCACTGAGTGCGGGAAAAGCTTCGTTCGGAACTCCCACCTCCTGATCCACCAGGTGATTCACCGTGGCGAACGCCCCTTCACGTGCAGCGAGTGTGGAAAGAGCTTTAGCCAGAGCTCCACCCTAACAAGACACCAGCAGATCCACACTGGCGAGAAACCCCACCGCTGTCACCAGTGTGGCAAGAGCTTTGGGCGCAACTCCAACCTGACGAGGCACCAGAGGCTCCATGCGGCTGAGCGGGTCTACCGGTGTGCAGGATGCGGGGAGGCCTTCCGCAGCAGGGGTCTGCTCATTTCTCACCAGCGATGCAGCAAGAAGGAGAGGCCAGAGGCTTGCAGAAAGCGCACAGCGCCTGCTTAGTTGGGGACAAGAGGCAGAGTTTGCTATAACAAGGTGTTGTGATGCAGCTGGGGGTTCCCAGTACATGTGAGATGGAGATGGCCCCAGCACCACAACTTAACAGCAGTACCGCAATGCAGAGATGATGGGACTACTGCATTGTTCTCCTGGATAGAGAAGGAGACAGGTTACCCAGCTCCAAAAACACTGTCTGTCTCACCTTAGCATTGTTCTTCTATCCAACCCCAGACATGCTTTATCTAATCTATCTATCTAATCATATGTTCCCCCACTCTCTCTCTCTCCCTCCATCCATCACTCCCTATACACACCATCCCCTTGTCTGTCCATCCATCCATTCCATAACAACATAACAAGCCCCTCCATCTATTCATCCACCCGTCCCCATAAACACTACACTGTCTGTCTTTCCTTAGCCCTACTCTTCTACCTGTTCATCCCCCTACTGCCCCTCTGTCTTTTTATCACCATATGCACCTATCTATCTCACTGTCTCTCCCCATACATCTCACCCCTCTGCCTGTCCATCCACCCCCTAACACACTCCAGGCATTCACCTGCCCTGAATCTCATTCTGATCATTCTGCCAGATAGATTAAGCGGACTACGAGCTTGGATACGATCCCAGCTGGTTGAGACTCCAGCCCAGTGCACCAACGGGATTGCTATGGGATTTTCAAAACTTTTGTTTCCAGGCTTCTACAGCTGAGTAGGTTGTGGGAGGTTGACTGGTGGCAGACTTAATTTATGATTGCTATTATTTATAGTACAGTAGTGCTTGAAAGGTCCCATGGAGATTGGGGCCCTGTCTTGTGAGGTCCTGCACAGACACATCTATCTGAGGGACATATGGCACCCATGGTTGTAGTATCTGAGCGCTTTGCGTGGTGACAGAGATCAGGGTCTGGCCATGCTGGGCAGTGCACAGACACACAACAAGCAGGGGCTGCAAAGCACACGATGAATGATATGTTGGCTCTGTTGCTGCCAAGACGCACTGTGGCCGAGATTAAGGCTTCATTGTTCCTGGTGCTGCATCGACACACGGTGACTGAGGTTGGAGTCCCCTGGCTGCACAGACACAAAGTGAGATACAGTCCCCGCTCAAAAGAGCTCACTGTCTGAATAAACAAAGAGTGGGTCACCGAGGGGACTTGTCCAAGGTTATATAGCACTTCAGTGATAGAGCCAAGAACAGAACTCAGGTCTCCTATATCCTGCTCAGTGCCTGGCCTTTCACTTTGGGTGATATCAGCGGGTTGGTCTGGAAAAAGCTGGTAGGGTGTGTAGAGTCCCAGCTGTCAGGGAGGGACAAGGAAAACAATGTTAATACATTGGAAACAAAATAAATGTACTAGTTGGGAATACACAAAGATGCGCCTCCTTGGAAATCCCACCTGTCTGATGGTTTGGTCTCTGCCCCCAACACTCCCGACCTGTCTGCATAACAATTGGGACAATCTGTAACAGCAAAGACATTAACAAACCCAAAGACAGACTTCGAGGAGGAAGGCTGAGCTTTCTACAGCTGCATCTTCACCGCCTCTGCAAGGAAAGCAAGGTTAGTACAAACCCTAGAGGTATCCTTCCCCATATGCACTATGTTAGAGCACCTGCTCCATAGGATTCATAAAGTGATGGGCTCAAAGCTGCCTTGTTTTTCTTACTCAGCATATCCAGCAGTTACTGAGATCTGTGGTAAACACAAATGTAATAATCTGTAGGCAGAGCACTTTACAAGGAGTATCATTGTCCTGGTTCTATAGAAAGGGAAATTGAGGCATGGAGAGGGGACATGACTTGCACAAGGTCACAGGCAAGAGCTAGGACTCCCAGTTCCTACTTCTCTAACCTACAGGACCACACTGCCTATCCCAAGAGAGGGATAGAATCCAACAATCCTGAGTCCCAGTCCAGTGCGCTAACAACTAGAATTCACCTCTTTTTAGAGCTGGGAGCTCAGGCATCCTGACTTGCACCCTACCCTTCTGCTCTCACCCACTATGAGCCACAAATAGAACCCAGGAGTCCTGATTACCTTAGACAAGGAAAAGAATCACTATTAGGACCACACACATCGAAGTAAATAACATTCTGCTGACACATAGATATTTATTTCAAAGCCTGGATTCAAATTCCACTGGGGATGTTGGGGTCATTACTACCCCACATATTGGAATTTCTGGTAGTTCTGTGTCATTTTTCTAAAAAAATCTGGGAAACTATATCCCTCAGCTACATTGCAAAACTGTATTAAATGGATTTTCT